GGGCATAATTGTTATACTCAGGGAATTATAAAACAAGCAAAAAATGTTATTTAACTCATCTATTATTGAGGGAGCCAGTAAGCTCTTACAAGTGGCTCAAAGGAGAATTTCAAGAACCACACATAAGGATAAGCAGTAAGAAAAGCTGAAGGAAGTTTAAGAATAGAGGCAACACAGATCTACCCACACAACAATAATCAGTTACACCCTACCAGAAATAACTAATTTGCATTTCTATGAACAAAGGTCATTTATATGATTACCCATTTTCTACAACTTACAGAGTTTTAAATAGCTTAAAGACAACGAAAAGCAGATAACCCAGATGGGTACACTATGGAGAACACCCACTAATCCCTTTTTCCTATTTCAAAATCTTTCACAATCTTTCCTAACAACTCTCATTAGTACTGAGAGATGACAAAATACCATTACAGATGCTTCTTATTATTCTTCTTATATGTGTTTTTATTATAATCTTCTAGTATTTATGCTGAGGTTTAATAAAACTGGAGCTTGTTTGAGAAACATTGAGAGGGAGAATGCGTTTCTTTTAGAATATCCTGCCTCTTCTTGGTTCAATTTACCCCACTGCTGTTTACTGTGAGTTATTGCATTTGATGGCTTCATGGTTCGTTATGTAAACAGACCTCAAGAGAGTACCCCAACCCCATCATTCCTCTAGCAGAAATGTCAAGACCAAACTAAACCTTTCCCTTTAAAAAAAATATTTTTATTGATTTCAAAGAGAAAGAGAGAAGGATAGAGAGATAGAACATCAATGATGAGAGAGAATCACTGATTGGCTGCCTCTTGCACGCCTCCTACTAGGGATCAAGCCCACAACCTGGGCATGTGCCCTTGACCAGAATCAAACCTGGGACCCTTCAGTCTCCAGGCTGATGCTCCATCCACTGAGCCAAACTGTCTAGAACAAACTTTCCCTTTCAATACATATCATGTTTCATGAAGAAAGGAATGATTATATTTTTTTTATTCACCAAAGCACCTGAAACAATTCTGGATTCATAGACCTCAATAAATACTTATACTTGTGAAAAATATTTTAACATTTTTATAAGAAAATCAAAGTGTAAAACAACTTTAAATATTATATGTTTATTCTTTTTTAAAAAAGAAAACGGCCTTTTCTATTTTTCTATTGGAATTTTTAAGTGACCATAATTTTTCTCCTTGGGGAGGGTATCTGTAATTGGAGCCATCTTTCTCTTTTCTTTTGTTCATCATGTATTTTTTTAATATATGTTCACTTTATATTTTCAGTTTTATTTTCTTAACAAATCTTTATTGTTCAGATTATTACAGTTGTTCCTCTTTTTCCCCCCATAGCTCCCCTCCACCAGGTTCCCAACCCACCCCATGCCCTTACCCCCCACAACTGTCCTCGTCCATAGGTGTAAGATTTTTGTTCAATCTCTTCCCACACACCCAACACCCCCTTCCCCCTGAGAATTGTCAGTCCACTCCCTTTCTACCCTGATTTTTTTATATTCACCAGTTTATTCTGTTCATCAGATTTTTTATTCACTTGATTTTTAGATTCACTTGTTGATAGATAGTATTTGTTGTCACTTTGTTGTTCATAGTTATTATCTTTACCTTTTTCTTCTTCCTGTTCTTTTTTTTTTAATATATTTTATTGATTTTTTACAGAGAGGAAGGGAGAGGGATAGAGAGTTAGAAACATCGATGAGAGAGAAACATCGATCAGCTGCCTCCTGCACACCCCCTACTGAGGATGTGCCCGCAACCCAGGTACATGCCCTTGACCGGAATCGAACCCGGGACCTTTCAGTCCGCAGGCCGACGCTCTATCCACTGAGCCAAACCGGTTCTGGCTTCTTCCTGTTCTTAAAGAATATCCTTCAGCATTTCATATAATACTGGTTTGGTGGTGATAAACTCCTTTAGCTTTTTATCTGACCTTCAATTCTAAATGATAGCTTTGATGGCTAGAGTAATCTTGGTTGTAGGTTCTTGCTATTCATCACTTTGAATATTTCTTGCCACTCCCTTCTGGCATGCATAGTTTCTGTTGAGAAATAAGCTGACAGTCGTATGGGTACTCCCTTGTAGGTAACTAACTGTTTTTCTCTTGCTGCTTTTAAGATTCTCTCTTTGTCTTTTGCCCTTGGCATTTTAATTATGAGTCTTGGTGTGGTCCTCTTTGGATTCCTCTTGTTTGGGGTTCTCTGTGCTTACTGGACTTGTAAGTCTATTTCTTTCACCAGGTAGGGGAAGTTTTTCTGTCACTATTTCTTCAAATAGGTTTTCAATATCTTGCTCTCTCTCTTCTTCTGGCGCTCCCATAATTTGGATGTTGGTAAGCTTGAAGTTATCCCAGAGGCTCCTTACACTATCTTCATATTTTTGGATTCTTTTTGCTTTTCTGTTTGGGTGTTTTTGCTTCTTTGTATTTCAAATATTTGACTTGATTCTTGGGATTCTCTAGTCTGCTGTTTAATGTCTGTATATTATTCTTTATTTTAGTCAGTGTATGCTTAATTTCTGATTGGTCCTTTTTCATATCCTTGAGGGTCTCACTAAATTTCTTGGAGGTTTCTAGAAGATTCTTGAGTAACCTTATAACCGTGGTTTTGAATTCTATATCCAGTAGTTTGCTTTCCTCCATTTCTTTCATTTGTGACATGCTTTTTTGTCTCTGCATTTTGGCTGCTTCCCTGTGTTGATAGAGTGCCTTGTGTGCTAGGTGTCCTATAGGGCCAGTGGCTCAGCCTCCCCAATCACCTGAGGTAGACTCTTGGTGCACCCCTTTGTGGGCTGTGTGCACAGTCTTATTGTAGTTAAGCTTTGATTGCTGTTGGTATCACTGAGAGGAATTGACCTCCAGGCCAACTGGCTGTGAGGACCAGCTATGTCTACAATGGGAGAACTGCTGTGCTGGAGACACCCTTATGGGGCAGGACTTGCTTCAGTGGGGCTTTGCTGCTCACTGAGTCTGCCCCTTGAGTGTGTCACTTATGGATCTGAGGAGTTGTAATCTGGTATGGTCTCACACTGACCACTGGGTACACTGGCTCTTGGATCTCCAAGGAGGTGCAAAGTCAGCCACTCCCTGAGGCCACCCAGCAGGAGCTACAGAGAGATCTGCAGATTCCTCCTCTTTGTTTGGAGTTTGGAAATGCCTAGATGAGGCCCAGCTGTGAAGCAAGGCAGGCTGCTGCTGCTGGGCCTTGGGCCTTCTTTTGGAAGCTTTGGAGCTCTCTGACCCAGCTGCAGTTTGTTAGGTTTTAAGCTGTAAAAGGACAGGCCATTCATATGCAAAAGCCGATGCGCACAGCTTGGGTAGGGTTGTAAATTGGGTGGGGCGGGGTCTCAGGGAATCACCAGGGCGAAGCAAACAGCTATGGCTGCCAGTTGGCCCTATACCAGAGAGGTCCCCAGGTCTCTGTGTCTTGCAGCCCCATGTAGGAACAATGATTGCTGTGAGCACCTCTGAAATAAAGCCGCCCTTGCGTTCTGGCCCGTTGCCAGACAGTCCAGTTTCTCCCCATATGAGTCTGTGTCCCCAGAGTCTCGCCTGGAACTGGAGTTCAGAGTAATCTGGAGCTTGTATCTCCTCCTGATTGAAAAAAACAACAGTGCACCCAGTTTCCAGACCATTTTGCGCACACCTCCTACCAGTCTCAATGCACTTGTTTCTTTCCTTCAAGTTGTAGAACTTCCACTCAGCCAGCTTTCCCATAGTTCTGGACTATATTTGTTTTGTATTTTTGTTGTAGTTTTGATGTGATTGTGAGAGGCAGCGAGTACAGGTGTTTACCTATGCCACCATCTTGGTTGTCCTCTGGAGCAATCTTTCTTGAGATTATATCCCCAATTCCTACTTTCTCTGATCTATCCCCTGAATCTTCTCTACATTATATTGTTTAAAAGTGCACTCAGATGCCTATAAATGCACAGAATATTTTTTTTACATCTCCCCTTGATTAGGGGAGAAAATTGAGATAATTATGAATGGAATAGAGGGATGACACGCATTCATTTGAGAACATGTATCAAAATTATTTGTTGAGTTTTTTCAAAATATGTCATTTTGTGGGATCACAGACCATAGTGAGCCATGTTGCAATGAATGTGAAGTTTAGCATTGTTGGTACAGAGAGAGAAAGCAAACTATTTATCTAGCAATTACAGAATATTATAAATAGTATGTATTATCATCTGTAAATGATTAGGGGAAAACATTTTTATTTCTATTACATATCTCTGCATATTCTGCTTTCCAAAAAGATGCCATGCATAATACTTGCAGCAGGCAAATGCTAACATCCTTTGATGACCATTTTAATAGTCAAAGAGCTTACAGCTTCTATATTATCTTGCCTAAACTATACTGTTTTTGAGTTTGTTGGATGGCATCACAAAAAAAAAAAACACAAACCCTATTTGATTTTATCAGACATAAGGTATAAGGTTCAGGGGATGTTGATTTTCTAAGGTCCACTCTGATTCTTTAGATTGGCCTATATCTGCACCATTGCATGATTACAGATGGGAAAGTTGGACTAGCAGGTATCTGGCCTTGAAAGACAAATTAGTGTCTGCAATTATGTGACAAAGTTACCTTCCTTGTGAAATTTTGCTAACCCTGGACATTTTTCTCATCTTCTGAAAACAGAAGCCAATAACCAACTCAATTATTACCTAAATGTGTAATTCTATAGATTGCTGACCTCTGCATCTTCATGATCCCATATGCTTAAAGTTTTGAGTGAGAGGAAAACTCTTAAGCCTCAAGGATCTGGGGTCCATGGTGTAGAGCCTCATTTCAGAGATATTGAGGGAAACTGAACTAGATGGTGATGACTTAGCAATGAGAATGTGGTAGCACTTTGTAACTCCCTTACATTGGATGTACTGTATCATTCCATTTGGGCTTTATTATTACAGCAATAAAACCTCTCCTCTAGTGTTATTCCAAATGCCTTTGCTTACATTACTTATTTCCTTTTTAGCAATACTTTCATGCTGGAGGAAATGGCCTCAAAAAGAATTTCTTGGAGAAAAGCCCCGATCTTCAATCTCTGAGATATGCTCTCAGTCTTTATACCCAAACGACTGATGCCTTGATAAAGAAGTTCATAGACACTCAAACCTCACAGAGTAAGTAACACAGTGAATGTGACAATAAAATGAACACCTAGGTAAAATTCAACATAAGAATTATTATAAATAGTACTAATAATTTTACTATAATAAATTAAAGCTATAAGAATGGAGAATATGGTTAATATAAAATTACCAAATTTTTAGCATTCATAAGTTATAATCTTATGAATAATTTTAATATTAGTAGGGTATGATAAATACTAAAACTGTATTGAATGGTTGACTCTTCTTAACTAACTTCAAAAAATTTAGCAAAACCTAGATTTGAATATCCATAGCTGTGATAGTCTCTTCAATTTAGTATAAAAGATTCAGTGTTTGTTGGTTTTGGCAACTTCTCAAAAGTTATAATTCCCCAAATCCTGATTTCAAATGTAAAATCTCCTCCTTTAGTGTTTCCAGAAGGGAAATTTAATCTTATCCTAATTTTATATGAGAAAAGTTTTCAACTTTTACTTTGAAATGGGCCAAGAGATAAGTATTTTACTTAAAACTCAAATCTGTTTCACATGGCAAAGTTCCCACCTCATAAGCTTCTAGGATATTACTGTTAACCTTTATTTCAAGTTGCTTTGTAATTGATTATATTTTGGCAATTATGTGCATTTATGATCTGGCATTTCTGAGAGATTATTGAAAATGTCAGTATGAGTCAAAAAGACCCAAATGCAGACTCAAACTCTAGAACATAATAAATCACACCACAGAAATCATAAATATAAATAAAAGGATATGGTTTTAATTCATGAGAGATCCTAAGAAAAGAAAGAATAGATTTTATTTCCTGTGATGAAAATGCTCCAGTCTTATTTTTTCCACAGATATTTAACTTTTCTAACTACATCAAAGATAATGCCAAGGTAAGTGCTATGTAGGTGTTTGGCCTGTCTTTAACACTTGGTGCTTTCTGATAGTGTCCACTTAAATGCTATTTTCTTTTCTTCATATGATATGCAAACCTAGCCTACATCTTGGGATGGTTCCAGAAAGGAAGAATAAGCTGAGTTCATGAGAGCTTATCAAGAAATACAGAAATATTCAGAACATTACCCCTGAATCCATGATCTTTCAAGTTTTTCTGAACTTTATAAATATCAATATAATTCTAATATATCATACAAATAGTATTATAGCTTTATTCCCAGAGTATCTAAGAATATAAAACTGTGCTTTGTTTGTATAGGTATGCATTTATAGTATATATACACACATGTATACAGCCTATGTTTTAGCATAGAGTCACACCAAAAAATGCATATATATCAATTTTGATATATGGAATTTGGCACATGTATTTATTTTTATACTATGTATTGTATGGCAACATTAAAAATGGATTGTGGCAGATAAGAGGATCTGCAATCCCTGGAACCACCCAATTTAACATAACTTTATTTCAGACTTGGTCTCCCTTTTTCTTTTTTACTCTACTTTTCTGGCTTTATTGAGTATGTCTTTGGGGAGGGGCATAGTTAAAATTTGCAAGACATAGATATGAAACAGCTTTGCATTTTCTACAATAGCTACCTTCAGTCATGCTCTATGGAAACGTATCCCTACCAACCTCATCATCCCCAAACAGGTGTGATCAGGCCCAAGGACCTGAGGGGTAAAGGGAGCTTGATGTACTCTTTGCTCCCCTTCTCGGCCCTCTTCTAGATCCCTTTCTGCTACAGCAGTTTGGGGGGCAGACATGGAAGGGAAGGAGGAAAATTTCTTCAGTGTTCTCTGTATGGTTGCATCCAAATGCTGGCTTTCTGAGGGGCCCAGTGTTACGGGCCATTGTATATGTTCAGCTCCTTGATGAGTGTAACTTGTTCCAGCTCCCTTCAGGGACTCCTCAGTGATGCCTCCTGCAGCACATGCCATAGCTTCTTGCTCCTTTAATATTTGCTCCTAGTGGCCAGCCCTCTGGAATGGGGCTCCAGCAAGAGGCTGAAGCCCAGCTTCCTCCTTTGTGGTTCACTTGAGCCTGAGGGAACGCAAATGTTCTTTCTACATCTTTGGTGATAATGAAGGATTCTCCACTGTCACCTGCCATCTCTCTACAGTTCTCTTCTCCACCTGCTCAAATACAGGTTTATATTTCCAAATTGAGGGAGGTTGGAGAGAGGAATCCTACTGCATAATATAACATAACCATTGTTCAATCAAAAACAGAGGTTAATTGTAGGATCAATTATCTCCTTCAAACACCTGATATCCTGTAGCATGAAGAGTCCAAAATGACCACATGAAGTCTGTTTCCAGTGTAAATATTGTTGCAGTTATCTAAACATTTATCCTAATATTTATTATATTGAATTTTTGTTCATCAAAATATCATATTTTGTTAATTCAGTTTAGAAAGATCATACTGGTGTTATGATAACTTTCAAATACACCATTTGAAGTGGAAGCTAGCACTACATACTGCAAACCCTGCCACTTTCTGTCTGAGGAGCCACAGGAGCATGCTCAGTGCCACCAGTTAATGCCCCAGGGAGAAGCCCACAACCAGGGAAAGATAGAAAATGGGCAATTTAAAAAAACAAAAATATAAAATCCAGCTTCCTCAGTTGGGTCAATTCTAGTTTGTGTTTTGCACAGACTGGAGTTCCCCTATAGTACAGAGCTCCATTCTCCCTCTGAAGGCTGGCTTGATACCATATTGATTTTTCCTTTTCTCACTTCTTCAGTCCCCCATCAGTGTTTCTTGGGATTCCTTCCCAGGTAGACCATTTACGTTGAGTGCTTGTCTCAGAGTCTGCTTCTGGGGGAACAGAAATCCAAGGTCACACAGCTAGAAAGCAGGGAGTCAGATTCAAACTCAGCTAGCCTAGACCTCTAGATTCAGTGCTCTTAACCATTCAGTGTTCATCTTCTTGATAATAAGCGTGAAGGCCAAATACTCTGTATGACATTACTTGGACTTTCCCCACCGTGATTTCAAGTCAACAATACAGAACTAAATGAAATTCAACCTATAAATAAGTACATTTTCATTTACCTCATGATCAGTAAAACAAAGTTATTTTTGTTCCCTTAATGTCTAACTCATACTCTACAAGGAAATAATTGTCTTAAGCTATTCAAGTGTTATTTAATAGATCTACATGTTATATGAAAGGGCTTGGGATCCATCTATACTAATAAAAGGGTAATATGCTAATTAGACCATATAGACCGGACGTCTCCCAGATGTCATTCCAGACGTCCTTCCTGACAAAGCCAGGGCCCTGGTGGCACTGCCCAGGGTCCTGGGTGCCTGCGGCCGGCCAGAGGGAGGGAAGCCAGGTCACCGTTGCCTGTGGCCAGCAGGAGGAGGGAAGCCTGGGTCCCAGGTGTGGGGGCCAAGGCAGAGGCAGTTAGGGGCATCAGGCAGGCAGGTAGAGTGGTTAGGGGCAATCAGGCAGGCAGGCAGGCGAGCGGTTAGGAGCCAGTGGTCCCAGATTGTGAGAGGGATGTCCGACTGCCGGTTTCAGGTTTCAGTTCATCTGAGGACTTAAGCTTCTACATCCAGCAGTCAGACATCCCCCAAGGGGTCCCGGATTGCGAGAGGGTGCAGGCTAGGCTGAGGGACCCCCCCTTCCTATGCACGAATTTCATGCACTGGGCCTCCAGTTAGAAATATGTGTGCTTTTTGAAATATTCATATTTTACTTTTTTCTCATAAAATCTTCCCTTATTTCATTTTCTTCCTTGTCTACTTTTTGTTAAAATTTTCTTTCTCATTTTTTCTCTGTTATGATTTTTCCTTGTATGTCTGTGTTAGGAAATTAACTATAAGATTAAAATTTTAAAAACCAATTACTATTAAAATTTTTATCTTCAAAATGAAAGGTCTTTTTTTCTTTAGAAATATTTTTATTTGAATTCAGCTTTTTAAAAATGGGTTTATAAGTATAGAAAAACCTGGTGATCTTGTTCATATTTTATCTTCCTCTCCTTTTATTTTTTAGCTCCTTTTCACTTTTACCTTGCTTTTTGCTTTCTTCTCTTTTTACATAGACTTCTATGTCATCTTTTTTCTAGTACTTAAAAAAGAAAGTCATAAAAAAAACTACAAAGAATTGAGTCCCATTAGAAATTTATGAGACAAATGAGATCTATCAATATGGAAAAAACACTATCTTCTCTCCTATTTCTATTCCAAATATTGAAAAATAAATCCAAAATGGATGTAGAAGCTTAAGTCCTCAAATGAAACTGAAAGTTCAGTTTATAAGAGTAGCATGTATATTATTCTAGAAAAGCACTGCAGCAATAAAACACCATCTTACTCTGCATTCTTTAACAAGTATTTACTGAGCATCACCTCTGAACAAAGTCCCATACAGTGAGGTATATATTCAAAGGTGAACATCCTACCTAATAAAGCAGGGTTATGCTAATTGACCCTCACCCCGTCACAAAGATGGTGGCACCCACAGCCAATAAGGAGGGAATATGCTAATTGACTGCCATGCCCTCAAAGATGGTGGCACCAACAGCACAAGATGTTGGCGCCCAGTCCCCTCAGCCCCACCTTGCCACTAGCCTGCCTCCGGAGTTCCCCAGTCCCCTCAGCCCCCCAGCTTCCCAGGGCCGGCCCGAGGTACAAGCAAGCCTCGGATGGCAGCAGCCCAGCTGCCAAGGGCTGGCCCAGGCGCAGGCAAGCCTCAGATGGCGGCTGCTCAGTCGCCCAGGGCCGCCCGAGGCTCAAGTAACCAGGGCCGGCCAAGGCTTGCAGTGCTGGCAGAGGTGTGATGGGGCATCGCCTTCCCCTGATCACCGGTTTGCCTCCTGCACCTGAGGGCTCCCAGACTGTGAGAGGGGGCAGGCTGGGCTGAGGAACCCCTCCTCCAGTGTATGAATTTTCATGCACCGGGTCTCTAGTGAAGTTATATGCACAAGTTGCTCTAAATATTGGTTCTCAAGCAGGGTTATTTTGTTCACCCAGGGGCTTTGGGCAATATCATAAGAGCTTTTTGGTTGTCACATCTGGGAGTGGCAGTTGTGTCATTGTTTTCTCT